TTTTCGGTTCGTATTCTAGGCCAAGTTTACACTGAACACGCAGCGCGAGCCAAGTCAGCTGTTGGTGACTATTTACTTGACATCAAACGCATACGTCGCGACTTGCCGACGTTACTTTGGTTCTGCGGCAGGACTTACTCAGGCTTGTCATAGTACCGTGGCAAACAAGAACATTTGGCTTTGTCACGTGCTTGTTGAATATATATCTTGCCTTTTACTTCCAAAAGATTGCCAAGATTGGGAGATTAATTCAAGACAAGACAATATTCGTAAAAGTTTTAATCCTATCTCGGTCTTGAGCGAATTTTTTTAATAAAAATCTTGTCCTGTCTTGATTTTTCGCAATATTTTTCGCAATAAATTTTCTGCATTGACTGGTTAATTAACAAATGTGACCAGCTGTGGTCGAATAAAATTTGGAATTTTATTATACTGGCAATTTGAAGAAACTAATCTAAGGCCAATAATCTTGACCATTTCGTCTCGATATTGTCTTGATAATTAATTAAAAATCTTGTAACGATCTTGCCTCGAAATTTGAAACAAGACCAAGCCAGTACCAAAACTGGTCTTGGTATCTCGTGCAATCCTATTCGATATTAAGGAACAAATTTTGACAAGACCAATAATCTAGACGATTTCGTCCTGATATTGTCTTGATGAATAACTAAAAATCTTGTCTCGATCTTGTCTCGAAATACGAAACAAGACCAAGACAATACTAAGACTGGTCCTGGTATCTCGTGCAATCCTATTCGATATTAAGGAAAGAGCGATGACCAATAATCAAAGAGCAATGAACACAGGGGAAATCTCCGTAAAGGCACGATGATGTTTTTGAGTCGGTAGAAGCCGACCGGAATAACGTTCAAGAGGGAAATACGGAGAGAGGCTTGCAAGATGTAACGTTGGCTCGCACGTGATTTGCTCGGTCATCAGAATAGAAGCGCCAGTGCAAAACGCCCGCCCGACCCTTTCATTCGACGTTTCGCATTCGAAATTAGCAGCCAGAGAGGAGAACTTTGATGTTCGGGGCGCTGGTACGTTGTCACGTTGCCGGTGTGACGGTGGTCTTCGGGTAATTGCGTCGGTGGAAGGTCGTTCTACGTGACACCGATAGACGCCGCAGGGCGGAAAAAAGCGCCGGGCCAGAGACTCGCGAGGAGAACGTCTCGTTTCTCTCTTGGACTTTATATTATTAATTTCCTCCTCGCCTAAGCCGTGGGAACTACGACAACGTTGCGTAAATAACTTGTAAAAAAGTTCGATTTATTTCCGGAAATAGTGGTTAATTACTGGACAAGCGTTCGCTCTACCGCGCCGGTGGTCGCTTCCTGCATGTTTCCAACCGAGGAGACACTGCAGAAAGGATGCGCTAAACGACCCTGTGGCAAAAAAAAGAACGCTGAAAGAAGCTCTTAAAGGAATGAACCTTTTCTCGTTTTGAAGAGATACAATGTTAAAGTAAAATATTATCGACAACGTCGGGTAAAATCTTATCAATCTTTGAATGTTCGATAAAATGTCGCCGATGTGTGAACGATTTTTCCTTTGGATTCTCATTGGCAACATCTACATAATTTCAGTTAATTTGCTGTATACAGTTTTTTTTAAATACACTGTTACACATTGACAGAACCTCGGTCGACAGGAGATAGAGGCAGCGTGAAAGAAGATTTAGGTGAAAATCCCCGCTTGTTGAGGTGACGCGTTCTAGACACACTCTTTTACGCAAACGAGTCTTGATATCTTTTGTTCCATGAGAAGAAAACTTTGAAGCTTGTCAAACAACTGAGAACTCGGTTTACGCCACGTATTTCCCTAATGCATAAAAGACGCAAAACGTTAAACTGATCTGTATTGTATTAAATAACTACTTAATTGCATCAATGTTCGTATTGAGAAGATCCAGGTGATTTCGGAATTTAAATTACTTCACTGCATCTGTTAAAATTTTTCTAAATTTATTCACTTTATTTATTATACATATATTCCGCAAGTTGTTTGTGAAACTTATTTATTAAATTATTCTTTTGAAATATATTCAGAGAATTTCATAAATATTCTTAACGCGTGATAAATAATTTAAATATAAAATGCAAGATAATGTATCCAGAAAAGTGATATGAAAATCAGGAGAACAATATCTTCATTATAATAAAATCTGTACTTGCTTCAGAATTTTAGAATATAATTGTTGAATTAATTGTCAAATAAATTCACTAAATTCACAGTAAATTTGAACCTATATTTTCTAGCTATATAAAACAGAAAATATTTTAGGTCTCCCTTGATTTTTTTTAAGCCATTTTACCATCCATAATTTAGATTCGTTGATTGAGTTAATGGATTGCGTATTTCTGGATGGAAACCTTCTCGATATTGGTAGAAATTATTCTATTTTTTATTCAAATTAGAACTTACCTAATATCTCGCAGCGGAATCGAGAAATTTCGAGATCGACGAGCCTGTTTACTCACATTAATAGGTACTATCGGCTTCCTTCGCAGCATAGTAGGATGATCACCCAACTATACCGCATCTCAAATAGCCTGATGCGTTCCAATCGATTCTCATTCACCACAAGTAGAATTGGGTGATCAATACATATCCACTGTTCTCCTGAAGATTTGATTATTGGTAAATCAGACTCAATCAATTTATATATGTTTCTAGTACCTGATATCGATCTAGGATACGTACGATCGTATAAATTTCTTCTACTTACGACATACGTTGTACTAAAAAATTAAAAATACAGAGATATAAAGCAATATTTAGAAATTTGCGTATGTTCCGAGTAAATTTCAATTTTTTTTACGGCGGGTTTGTTAGTCAGTAAAAGTTTATCAGGTTGAATATCTTATAATTCAAAACTTGTTATGTTGAGAGAAAATTATTTGGACGGAAACATAATTACTCTTGTTTGAACAAACAACAAATTAATTGAGCGTATTATATAGTTAATGTAATCAATATGTAGTTAGATACAATAGGCACGATTATTAATACAGTTGTAACAACCAAATGTGTTGTTACATTAGTACAATGGCTTGGTTGTCAAATTAACAAGTTATTATTCTCTTTCTTTGGAGTGTGTTTTCACCTGTGCTAAATACCTTTTAATTGTTTCGTATGTGTCACACAATCTCTCGTAACAATGTTACTATTTATCTAACAAAAGAGCAATTACCTCAACAGCAATCATGAATTTAAGGTACCAATATCTTTTGACAAGAATAATTCGAATATATAATACAAGTTCAAAAATCACCTCTAAAATATTTTCAAATATTCCTTTCATCTTTTTTCAATAAAATGTTCTCCGTTAGAACTGTTTCGAATCCATACTGCGGTACGAATCGAATAGAATCGACGCTACATATTGGCGTAATTGTATCAAATGCCTTTTAATTGTTCCGTACGTGTCACAATCTCTCGA